GACCATGTCTACCAAAACCATGGCGTGCTAATGTTCCAGTCTCATTTGTCCACTCGGTATTAGGCATGGTACCTTGCCCTAAATACCCGGCTCTAGCGTCATCACGCATAGAACCACCGGTACCTGGTCTATCCCGCTGTTCTGAATCTCTCCGTTCCCGCGTCCGGAAAGGCCATTCAGCGTCCGCACGGGCCCTCAAGCAATCTTCTGTCAACGCCTGCGTACCAACGACAGGTCGTTGTAACTCTAGGGACTGGTTACTACTAAACTCCAGTCGCTGTTTAACCATATCAGTTCTCAGGTCATCTAGCGCTGTATATAGCATCCGGATCTCACGACGCAAACCCTCATTTTCTGGCTCAAACCCTCCGCTCTGAGCATTACCCTGTTGATTAGTCTGATGAGTTCCAAGTCCACTGTCCATAGTGGGTAGGCGTAGTTGGACCTCACCACTTGGTGTCCCATCCACATATTCTGTTGTCTGTGGGAGAAGCTCTCTCCCGGCACCGGGTTCTGGTATGGAATTGTCACCAAGTGTAGTATTACTCTCATTATCCTGTACGTCAAACCTTTCTCTCGTTTCCATCATGGATCGTCTATTGAATCGTCTACTTCACTTCAATGTGCTTAATAAATTGACAGCAATAATAATTAAACGTATTATAAATACGACCGTCTTACGCGATGTTCCCTCTCAATCTGGCAGCTATGATTTAATAAATATCTTCAATATCCCTTGTAAGTTATAACAGCTGATAACAGCTTAGTTCCTGATAAATCTTGCCACAGATATGACCAGATATCTCTAGTTAAACAGACATATCCATCCCACCGCTGCCACCAATGTAACGATTTCCGCCTACGGTTATCGAGGTCCGCTTCGCCAGTATAGCGAAATAGTAGTCACAGACTACTTGAAATCTGCCACATACAAAATGTCACTCCGGGCAAGCTCAGGAATTCTTCTAGAGGGATCTTCTCAGTGTCAGTAATAGTCGGAGTAAACGCAGTCAAATTAATTAGTAGAAATAAATGACAAAGACCAGTTTCACAAGTATAAATAGTATTATTTTGTAAGAAACAGAATAATTATTTACAATACAAATTATTCAAACATAGCAATCTCAAGCTTTCTCTTGCACGCAATTACACGCTAATATATCTTTCCCAAATTAACCAATAAATTACGAAATAATATAAGTCTCAGTCCACCCTCAATAATAAGAGTAATGCAATTGTAACAAATAAACAGCTTAACTATATAGTATTGGAAATTAACACTAAATAATCTAGCGCTCTATTAAATTAAAGTATAGGGGTCTGCTTTTACAATAATTAAACTTAGCAAACTGCTACAGTGAATTGGTTCTAAGTAATATTGTCTATAAAGACTATTTGAGCTATTATGTCCGTGATAACACAGGACAGCAACAATCCTAATCAGGAAGATAAACTATTACGTTATCATAAGCCACCGAATAAGTAATATTAGACTATTAAAGGAATGTGTGCTAAACTCTGGCTAACAAACGTTGACCACAGAAAAGAATGTCAATACAATGTTAACTATTAGATTAGTCACTTCTTGCCTAAAAGACACTGGTGATAACACCAGGAAATATCCCAAGTGAATGATCTCTCAATATTCACTTACATGTACTGTTGACAGTACTGGAGAAGACCAAAGTAGTTGAGGTGCCTGACGAAATGTTAATAATAACGTTAAACACTAGAAACGGTTGAAGTTGTATAGAACAGGGAGAACCCGATGCCGGTCGAAAGGCTACTGAAGCTAATGCGCAAGAAACGCGCTATTTATACCCAACGGCTGTCAGTGACAGCCCAGTGACAGCCCAGTGACAGCCGCTGGCTGTCATTTGGCAATCCGAGGCAACCGGAAGTTGCCAACGTAACCAAGTTACCTACATGTTCTTCCGACTGATAACTGATATATACAAGACTTGTTAAACTACATAACAATCATATTAGCACAGTTTACATATAATAATAGTGATCAGCTGATCAACATATAAACAATAACAAGGTGTCTCCCATAGGTAGTACAGTGTATCTCATGTAACAAACTTCACCTACAATGGTGAGAATTAACCACTTCGTTACACTGCCCCCTTCTTTAGAAATTTTGTCGTCCCGACAATTTGGTCATTCTTTGTTTAAATTGAAGTTACAGGTACAAAATAAGATGGTTAATTATCTGCACAACATTCAAACAACACATGCTCCTATTTTGTTTGCACATACAATACTGTACATATGATCTACCATATTTCCTAGTGTGCATTATATATTCGATAACAAAAATAAATAAATAAACATCCTGTTTTGCACAATATAAACACTCTCATATTTTACCACAGACTTTCTTTTTCACAGAATCCTTTAAATTGTAACGAAGTGGTTAATTCTCACCATACCTATGGGAGACACCTTGTTATTGTTTATATGTTGATCAGCTGATCACTATTATTATATGTAAACTGTGCTAATATGATTGTTATGTAGTTTAACAAGTCTTGTATATATCAGTTATTGTTTAAGGACATGCAGGGTTTTTTATGGTCCCATGGATGTATAATAATTCGTGTGGGAATGCAGTTAGTTCCTCCCGCATGATTTACAGTGATTTCTTCTGTGTGCGGCCGTGTTTATGGGGTAGCCCTACCAGTGTTGAAGACGTAACTTCAGCGAGTTTTTATACATATCTATAACAGCCGAAGGTGTAAAGACTGCATTTTCCCTGCATTATTGTCACCCAGTAAGCATAAACACAGTGTAAATGTATGTACTTACGATTTATTTCAGCTATAATAGATGCTTTCTGTCACCTAATTTGAACAGTTGCTATCGTCAACTATGGCGGTGAAGGTCGTTCGGTGTTTGAGTCGTATAGTAAATTTAGAGTCAAATCCGGCATAACCGGATTCTAAGTAGATTCCAGATCGCATTTAATGTTCAAATATCATAATTGTAATTGTTAATAACTTGTATGTTAGCTAATGTGTATTCTTCTTAGGAACTATTTGAAAATGGTTGTTGAGTTCGGAAGAACATGTAGGTAACTTGGTTACGTTGGCAACTTCCGGTTGCCTCGGATTGCCAAATGACAGCCAGCGGCTGTCACTGGGCTGTCACTGACAGCCGTTGGGTATAAATAGCGCGTTTCTTGCGCATTAGCTTCAGTAGCCTTTCGACCGGCATCGGGTTCTCCCTGTTCTATACAACTTCAACCGTTTCTAGTGTTTAACGTTATTATTAACATTTCTTCAGGCACATCAACTACTTTGGTCTTCTCCAGTACTGTCAGCAGTACATGTAAGTGAATATTGAGAGATCATTCACTTGGGATATTTCCTGGTGTTATCACCAGTGTCTTTTAGGCAAGAAGTGACTAATCTAATAGTTAACATTGTATTGACATTCTTTTCTGTGGTCAACGTTTGTTAGCCAGAGTTTAGCACACATTCCTTTAATAGTCTAATATTACTTATTCGGTGGCTTATGATAACGTAATAGTTTATCTTCCTGATTAGGATTGTTGCTGTCCTGTGTTATCACGGACATAATAGCTCAAATAGTCTTTATAGACAATATTACTTAGAACCAATTCACTGTAGCAGTTTGCTAAGTTTAATTATTGTAAAAGCAGACCCCTATACTTTAATTTAATAGAGCGCTAGATTATTTAGTGTTAATTTCCAATACTATATAGTTAAGCTGTTTATTTGTTACAATTGCATTACTCTTATTATTGAGGGTGGACTGAGACTTATATTATTTCGTAATTTATTGGTTAATTTGGGAAAGATATATTAGCGTGTAATTGCGTGCAAGAGAAAGCTTGAGATTGCTATGTTTGAATAATTTGTATTGTAAATAATTATTCTGTTTCTTACAAAATAATACTATTTATACTTGTGAAACTGGTCTTTGTCATTTATTTCTACTAATTATTTTGACTGCGTTTACTCCGACTATTACTGACACTGAGAAGATCCCTCTAGAAGAATTCCTGAGCTTGCCCGGAGTGACATTTTGTATGTGGCAGATTTCAAGTAGTCTGTGACTACTATTTCGCTATACTGGCGAAGCGGACCTCGATAACCGTAGGCGGAAATCGTTACAATATGGAAAATATGTGCAAGTTTTTCATACGGAATAACATGTGTATTAAGTTTTTCATACGGAATAACGTGTATGTCAAGTTCTTCATCTGAAATACCATTTATGTCAGTTTTTCATACGGTTAACATGTATGTCAAATTCTTTATCTGAAATACCATTTATGTCAGGGGTTTTATACGGAATAACATGTATGTAAAACTCTAAACGGCAGCTGAACCCGCCCAATCTTAGCGAATGTTGGTTAGTGACTTTTGACTACAGTGTTAGTCTCGGTTTCTGAAACATGTTCGTACACTATACACGTATACAACGGCAAATAAAGTCCACTCTTCTGTAAAATAAAAACACATAACATAAATATATTACCTGAAAGGAATGTGTAATTGATATACCTTACCTAACGTGTGTAACTCAATAGTTCATCAATACATATATATGCACAAATCCTTTTTCTCATGTGCCCATGACTAGCATTCACCCACTCAAGGATCCCTGTCCCTATGCACTATGTTTTTCCCCTTTATTCGGCAACCTCCCCTTAACTTCTATTTGGATACACTTCCGATTACCCAGCTGTAGCTCAATAGGTTAGAGCGATAGTATAATCGTCTGAAGTCCGGGGTTCGAATCCTGGTCTAGCCAAACTGAATCTTTACACTCAAAACAGTATTATTGTTATATTTTGTGTATTTCATCTTTATTATTTCTCATATATAAAAGTCCCGTAAGGTATGGTTATCTTTTAAAAATGATTGATCAACACTTTTATAGATGCCTGCAAAATCGGTTCACAGTGCAGAGTAAGTTTCTGGCATCGGTACGGGGATCCTTAATTTATACTTAACATGTATCGTACTATGTAGCGCCATCAGCTGATCGTAGTGTTACGTTGATAGAGGCAGGAATATACTGCCGAGACCATGCGTGTACGATATTACCTGTTCGTTGTGTATGCAGCACTTCTGCGCATGTCCATAGCATCAGGTAAGATGGTAACATACTGCATATGGATTGTATAACCTTCATTTGATGTTGTGTTTCTCATGTATCAGATTAATAAAACTGTAACAACGAATCGTCGATGAAGACGAAATATCTTCATTGTTATAAAAATTGTAGATACCATTGCGTCTTCCTTTTTCTATTTTAATCGTCATAACAAAGCAAGTGTGATGCTCTGTATTTCATTTTGGAGAGAAAATAATAATCATGTTTGGTTACTAAATACTTCACTTATCAGTGAAACATAGCCGTGTGCTAAAAAATATTTTCACTTCCTGGTTTAACTTAGTTAAAGTTATAGCTGGATGGACTTTGGTTCCGTTTTGTTGTTAAAGGTCATCGACACGCGACAAACCTACTACATGAATTGTTATTAAGGATTCCTGTCACGATGCACTGAGGATTCGCTATATACAGTAACCTCTCTTTAACTTTCGTTTATATATAACTGTAACACAGTTGCACCGGGATACTTTTGTTGACCAGGTAGCTCAGACGGTCAAAGGGAAAGTATAGCAATCTGAAGTCTAGGGTTCGAATCCCGGTCTAGCACCCCCCTCCCCCTCCTTGTTTTTTCTTCTTTAAATATCAGAAACTGTTGATGATGTTATTTTGTTCATTTCACCCACAATATTTCTCAAAAAAGTCTAACAAGGTATGGTTTTCTTTCGCAAAATAGTTTATCAAAGCTATAGCCGGTAAAACAGTTTCCAACACTTTGTACAGTATTTGGTAGTGGTACGGGGATCTTTAAATGACACTTAATCAAGGGACGCTACTCAACCATATCTGTCGCAGTTCAAGCTGAGTAAAAGTCTATCCCCAACCATCCCCCGTTTCCGGTTTTTGGAGCGTTACACCTTGCTAATATACAAATGTAGTAGGACAAGGAAGACTACTTTGAATTTTTACGTATTTATTTGTTGTGTACGCCTTGAAAAATGCTCAATTACATAAGAAACCTGCAGGACTTCGTTCTTTTTCTGAAATGTACATGTATAATTATAAATACAGTCTGTACCTTCGGAAACCATCGGCACTTTCCGTAAACGAGAGGTATTTTATTCTCGTTTACGGAAAGTACCGACGGTTCTCGATTGCAGTCTGTATGCTAAGATAAGATAAGATGAATTTTAATTAAAGTCGGTGGGCATTTTAAAAACAAATAACATAAGCTCTATAGAGCTTTTGACCGACAAACATGTTACATACAAAGACATTCACACATGGACAAGTTTGACACATTTTAATACACGTAAGTAATACACATATTATATAAGATAAAACACTTCAGATTTCGAGCTACTATCAGTATAGGCACATTGGACTAAAACACATCAGATTTCATATGATATAGTAAATAATTTAGCACTGATCTGTTAAAATTCATTTAAAAGTTGAGATAGGACAGGTGTGAAGAACTTGAGGTTGTATATGCAGGTTGGACATTTGCATTGTGTACCGCTCCAGGAGGATATTAAAGATTTGAAGTGAGTGAAGCTATTTGTTGTCCTAAATGAGTTGGGTAGGTTGTTCCAAAGGCAGGCTGCCGTGTATCTGAAGGATTTCAGGCCGTATGTAGTGGTTCTAACTTGTGGAATGTCTAATATGTTGGGGTATCTGAAACTGTAGTTTTGGGTTTTAAGTGTGACAATTTTGTGGAGGCATGGAGGTGTGATTTGTGTATAATTTTGTATGTTTCTATTGCCATTTGTCTCATTCTTCTAACTTTTAAAGAAGGTATGTGTGCTCGGGTCAAAAGGTCATTGTAAGAACTGGGAAAGTCATCATAGATACAGCTGAGTGCCCTTTACTGACTTTCCTGTAAGTTTGTAACATCTGTTTCAAAGTAGAAGTACCAGGAGAGTGGGCAGAAATTAAAGAGTGAAAGAATAAAGGTGTGGAATATTGTGAGTTTATTTAGTCTGTTTAGGTGTTTTCTAATTCTGTTAAGTATATATATTTGTTGTGAGGCTTTCCTGCAAATGTTTTGATGTGCAAGTCGAAAGAGAGCCGAACATCTATATTGATGGTAGTATGCTGACTAGTCTATCTAATCTGTTCTTTTACTTGAAATGGGTTGTACTTGTGCTCGTTTTAAATTGCCAGGGAAGAAACCAGAAGTGCTAGTTGTGTTGATTAGTTTTGTTATGAGGGTGTACGAGAGTGTTGTCTTGCTTGAGTTTGGCACTGATGTTGTCTACGCCTGGGGCCTTTTTAATGTTTAAGTGTGATACTATTTTGGTGATGTCTTCTTCCTGTACTGTTGTGAAATCAGTTGTTTGCTGTGTGTGTCTTTCCTTAGGTTTTGATTCATGCTGCTCAGTTCCATTTATATATAAGGGAGATAAACCACATCATTCCTAGACCGAATTATAACGTTTAAGAAAATAAACAGATAATACATCATTTTTCTTGTATCCTTTCGACAAAAAGCAACGCATTAACAATCACCTTATTTATTTATTTTTCAATTTAACTTTTTCAGGCCCAGACAAGCTAATCGTTAAATATTACTTCACTAGGCCTTTTGTACTCAAAATATCCGTTTAAAGATTGTGACCTTAACAATGGTTTAATTAATGTTGTATCAGCAGCGCTGGCAGCCAGTCATCCGAGCAGGGTACCTCCAAAATATCACAACACATAATGTAACAAACATGAGAAGTCATTTGAAGGTTCTAACATTTGAAGTGGGCGAGATCATACACTCAAATAAGATTGCTTGCTTTTTACCAGGTCCGATTCCTCCGTTTATTTTCCGGGGGACCCAATGCAAGGATCCGTCTGTGGAATGCCCTTGGTTGTGAGCTGGATGGCAGCACAAATCATAAATCTTCTAATCCATGAGTTATTTACACACACACATCGAGGGAAAATAGGATACTGATGTAAACTATAGACATGTATCCCCACCTATCGGATTTAGTCTTTATAGTAAGGGAGGTAACAATCATTATTTATAAGAGTTGGTCATCTAATTTGATTATATAATAATTAGGAACTGATGCTTGTAAGCCTCAGAACTGAGAATTTACCGTACAAGTTATCAAATTTATATATGACATACAGAATATGTTTACATATGCACTTATATTATAAACGATTTTTTTGTTTCCAGAAAACTTAGGTAGAAGTAAACCTACCAATCAAAGCAGTGTCTACGCTCACAACACTCTCTGGACGAGTGATTTAGCTGTAGACGGATGTAAACAGCAAATCATCTTGTCAGACTGTTGTATTCACACATCATTAAATGCAACTGAAGCTTGGTGGCAGGTTGATCTGCAGGAAAAGGTTGTCGTAGAGAACGTCATCATCTATAATAGAGGTACGTTGACCACGATAATGCGATATCCGGTTTGCAACAAAAGTCACATGGCAACTTGAAACCCCTGGTTTAATTCGTAAAGGTCTCTTCTTTATCCATGTATGTTATGCAATAGTCTTTTCATACAAATAGTACTGGTGGCTTGACTTGACTTATTTCCTTCCCTCTGAATGGAGAATAGGCCCATTAAAAAGTCCTCTCCAAGTGTTTCTGTCCAGGACTGATTTTGCTGCCTCTATCCATAACCCGAAACCCAGATCTTTCAATGGTGTTCCTCCATGTCTCTTCTTCTCCTCTTTCCTTTTCCTTCTGGTGTCCATCCGAGTGCGATGCTTGAGCGTGTGTGTGTTTCCATCCTTAGAACATGTCCTAACCATTGCCAACGAAGTTTCTGTATTAGGTGCTGATTTTATCTACCCTACTGTTTTTTCTCACTGTTTCATTGGACACTTTTCTCGGCCAGGACATTTTCAGAAACTTTCTAAGGCACTTGTGTTAGGATATGTCCAGTAGTTTTTCGTCTACCTTTGTCATTTTCCATGTTTCGCAGCTAAATAGGAGCAATGCTATCGAATTTGATATTTCGTTACTTCTCCAGATCTTGCTGAGTCTGTTGAATGTAGTCTTGCTTGGCCGATTCGCCTTCTGATTTCTTCGTTTTTGTCTTCTGTCTTACTGACTGTTGTTCCCAAGTAAACAATTCATTTACGTCTTTTACGTCGTTTCCATTTATGGCAATTGCCTAGCGGTTACTAGTGTTTAGACGCATGACTTTTGTTTTGACTTTATTGATTTTTAAGCATGTCTGTTTGCTGCGTAACTGTTTTGTAAACTGATTTTTATCTGCATATGTTCTTTGGTGCTCGATAATAGGGCAATGTCATCTGCAAAGTCTAGATCTTTTTAATTTTTTGTTATTTTCCTTTGTCATAACCTGTGTTGTTATTAGCTGTTGTTTTTCTCATTATTAAGTCTTTAATGAGGGGGAACAAAAATCCTGACATATTACACCCTTGTTTTACGCCAGATAATACTGCACATTCGCTGTCTTTATACATTTTTTTCATCATTTGGATCAATTTTACTGGAATTCCGTATTTTCTCATGGCCTTCCATAAGGTTTTACGATGTACACTGTCAAATGCCTTTTCAAAGTCAATAAAGCATAAATACAGGTTTGAATTCCATTCAATTGCTTGCTCCAAGATGTTGTCCCTCTTCCTCTCATAGCCTGGTGTCTACACACATGACAATTCTTATTATTATGATCTTTCCCATTGTTTTTGCGTTGTTGTTATTAGGTTGATACCTCACAGTTTGAGAGGTCTCCTGTCTTTGCTAGCTTAGTTATAAGACCTGTTCTCCAATCTTTTAGAGAAGTTTCTGTTAATCAGACTACATTGAATAATCCATATAACTCTTTCACTGTTGTTTCTGTGTCTGTCTTCGAGATCTCTGCTGTGATGTTATCCACACCTGGTGATTTTCTAGCCTTCATTTCTTTCAGCGCTCTTCAAATCTGGTCCTGTGTGGGAGCTCCTGTAATTACTGGTGGCAGTGTACCATTGATTGTCTTGTTAGTTGAAATCCAACAATTATTGAACTAGTTGAAGCAGATGCCCCCCATCCTTCTGAGTCTAGGGTGGCCTCGGTAGCCATGAGCGCTAACGCGCACAGTCACTACTAATGTGTGCAATCAAGCGTGAGCTTCAGACAATTCACTCTCCCAAGAATTTCGGTTTGATCCCCAGCGATGGTGGAAAAAAGAGAGTGATGTCTGATAAAGTTAGTTGTTATCCCGCCGATGGCACGGTGGTTTTTCCTACACCACAAAAAATACCATTTGCTCTCTTAGCAGTGTCGTAGTAAAAGCTCTACAGAGCTTATATTTGTTGTTGACAATGTACATGACGTTAAATAAAGAATATGGATTTGTTTGTTTTAGGTATAGAAGTAAACAAACTGGTCGTTATTCAGACACTTTCACTAAAATATCCCTTTCTTTTTATATATATGTACATTAATTTTGTTGTCTTTTCGAAAGAATCGCATCTGTTTTTTATCGTTTCGCAAATTAGACGTACATTTATTTAATTCCAAAGATATATGTCTGATGCTGCTGTATTTCGATTTGGCAGTCAGTTTCTTCACCAAAAACACTTTTATTATGTCTAATGTTTCATTTAGATGAAGGAAGTTCCGAAAGACGTCTCGGAGGCTACCAGATATACCTGTCAAACACAAGATACTGGAGACCAACAGGCCTTTGCTACGAAGACAAAACACTTACTGAAGATGCTCTGTCAAGTATACAGAGCAACACTTGTGACGGAACTGCACGATATCTTACTATCTACTCAGACCGTCAGACGAAACGCCGACGTTGGTACTCGGATAAAGCTATCCTGGTGCTGTGTGAAGTAGAAGTCTATGGTAATATTAATAATAATTCAAGGTTATTATATACCGCTTTATCACAACCTGGTTCGTAGGTCGTCTCATAGCGGTTAACAAACTATTATTCATGGCTATTGGGCCTTTGCAACCAACCAATATCTTTCTCAACTCCATGAGGAGCATACAGCCGGTGCTGCCATTATGCGCTCACAGCTAGCATTCAACAATTCCAGCACTGCCAAACCACGTACTCATACATCTGCTGGGACCCACTGCAGGAACCCCCTGCAGAATTGGGGATTTTCTTTTGTGTCGTCTTCTTGAGGACCAACATAACCTGCTACACCCACTGCAATAGTTGGGATCTTAATATTTCTCTCTACTTCTAACTACCCTTTATTTCTTTGTGCCTCTCTTGACAATACCTCACGTTTGGCATTAATGTTAAGCGTTCTCCCAGGTGAGGAACACAATGGGTTCTGTCCCCAGGCTGGGATATACCAAAGTCCTTAAAAATAGTAGTCGTTATTCTATGCTTAACGTTTAGCATTAAGGGTAATGGCAACAACTGGTTCACCCGTTGTCAGTATAATGTGACTGGGCGAAATGCTCTGTGCTGGGTGCCTTCGGCATGGTATACAGTGCGATAGCACTCTGTAAAGTCGACATGAAATCCACTCTATCACAAGGAGGCAATTGCAAGTACACCAAAATATCCTGTCTCCAGCACACATACACACATGCACGCATCCACAACATACATGGAGGCACGTCATTAAATGACCTTAGCTGTTAATAGGACGTTGAACAAAAAAATCAAACCAAATACAACTGAGTGTAATGGAATAAGCGGAGTAAAGTATCTTGTTCAAATATACAACACAGCGCGTGACGTTACTTCAAACCGCATATTTTTAGTTTTGTAGATATGTCAAACGTATCGTAACAGCCTAAGAATATGAGGGTTGGATACTACTTACTGTCAAGCTAGCTTTTCCGTCGATGCGCTGTAACCCGGGGACCCGTTTACTAGTTCAGCAAGGTCGGACGCGGGAATGGCTGGATGGGTGAATGCTCATACGTTACAGTGTGTTATAGATTTTGTTACAATGCATTATATATCTGGACAGTGTGGTTTAAATAGATGTTTTTTACTAGCAGTCTTTCAAGTGTCGTTCTGTTGACCAATATTATATTCGTCGTATTGCAGAGATATCAACAAACGAATTTCAGCAATGATCGACTTTAATATTTCCTAGGTTGTCCTGTTGGAAGATATGGGAAGGGAACCTGTACATTGACCTGTGATGATAATTGTGTCCACAACAAATGCCATCCTTCCTCAGGAGCATGCTTCCGTAAGTAGTTTTACTAGTAATGACGATGTTAAAGTTGATTTAAGCTGCATCCTCGCCCCCTAGGTCTAATTGTCAACTCATTTGCAGTCGATCCAACAGCAGTTATAATGTATATATGGTTAATAGAATCGGTCCCTATCTTGATGACGTGACAAAGATTTGGTTGTTTAACACTAGAAGGTGTGACGGAGATATCTCCAATCCGAGGGGTGATCCATTTGGTTTTCTTACCCGATGGCCTGGGTTGGACACTAAATAAATCACCCCTCGGGTTGGAGATTTCTTTGTCACACCCTCAAGGTCAGGGATAATTTTTTCTCCCATTATCCCAATACTGTGCTTAAAACTGTATTTTTTTTGCATTTGTGATCTGTTTGTTATGCTAATTTGCACATGACGTCATTATAGCGTTTCCGTCTGCGTACAATCCGTCATAGCCTAGGGGGTGATAGAGAAATCTTAAACAGTTAAAAGGTGAGACATTACATTCAAAGGTGGGGCGAAATGATTCTGATTTTTTCCAAGACTCGACATCGACATTTAACTATGTAAACCATACTTTCAAACATGACAGAAAAAAGCTAATAGATCTATGTCATCCACAATCGAATAAATCTATAGATTAAATGTACAATATACAAATCTTATAGATTATTATTGCATTGAATGTACCGTTACATGTCTCAGTAACCTGTATATAATATAAACATACGCTGTAATATTACTTTAAATAATCTCTAGTTTTTATTTTCATATTGAAACTTCTGTCAATGATGCATATCATATAGTCACTAAAACAATATAAAATTTAATAATTTAAAATTAGCTTTGAAATCAACCTGCATGTTTCAACACCGTAGCAGCTTGTGACGCAGCAGACCGCATCACACAATGGTCACATCCTTGAATCTTTCTTTAAAACGCACCGCACCATAATGTCCGCTTTCAACAAGTATAAAATATCACACATTCTTGGCTTCTTTAAGAGTTCCGAGCTTGCTAGGCTCCCTGCTATTCCGGATGCGATCCACTGCGTCAGCATGGTACCACAATGCTTACTACGTGCAGGTGATATTTAGTATAATTACCATTGTTTTAACATGTTTTTAACTAAATCGTTTTGAATTTTTGATGTATTCTTGAACTGATATGAATAGAAAACAATTTTCATTAGCAGTAAACATGTCTGAACCATACAAAAGTAAATCAGTAATTAACTAATCTAAATTCAAATTCCCTAAAAGTTTTCTCCTGAGGGTATATCTGGCTTCTACATACAGTGGACATTCTAAAAAATAATGCTCAACATTTTCTATAGGATAAGAACATATGCATTCATGCATTCAGGCGACTGAATTGCATTCATACGTTTGAGGTCAGAGCTCAAGGAACGGCAGTTATACCTGAGTCTTGTATGCAAAACATTGAATTTTCGTTCACTAGTGGTGACCAGTGGGAGGCACGGTAGTCCAGTGGTAGGACGCCGGGCTTGTGACCGAAGGGTTGCGGGTTCGCGCCACGGCATGGCAATGTGTTGTATCCTTGAGCAATTCTAGCACTGCCCAACCACGTACTCATTTACAGCTGAGAAGACTGGAAGAAGCTGAGCAAAGTATCTTGCTTAAAGATACAACACGGTACCGTGCCGTGACTCGAACCCGCAACCCTTCGGTCACGAGCCCGGCATCCTACCACTGTTTGCAGTAATGGACTGTGTCGTTCTATATTGTTATCTGTTTATATCCTTGTCCAGTTTGTGTTGATGGTCACTACAAAAGTGGAGAGAGATGTTTGGAATGTCCATCTAACTGTTATGGAGGCGTTTGTGATGGGGAATCAGGCGCATGCGCAGGTAATCATATATATTTCTTTTTGGTATTCCGTTTGCGGTCGATAAAACACCCATCGTTAAATATACCTTATACACGTGTATACCTTCAAATATTCGTAAACAGCAAAATACACAGTTGTCTTTTGTAAAATGACTTTTGATTTTTATCATGCAACACTAGTTAATTACAAATAATTTATAATACATCGCTTCTAGTAAGTGAATGTGATTGCTGTAGAAACGAGGCTTACAAGTGCTTAACACTTAGAACACTTGTCAATGGACAGAAAACGTAACCTTTGAAACATATTTGTAGAACGTTTCACAAGGCTTGCTTGATGACAAAGGAAACACTGTACTACATAATACACTTTTGAGAAAACTCCGATGTTCTCTTATAATTAATGCTCTCTTTTCCACTATTGCAAGTAGCTATATAAAAATACCGTTAAAAACTACATTAAACTGTTGACTGTTGGCGTGTCTTGTAGTCCCGATGTCACTAGACTGTTGACTATTGGCGTGTCTTGTAGTCCCGTTGTCACTAGACTGCTGACTATTCGCGAGTCTCGTAGTCCCGTTGTCACTAGACTGTTGGCTATTGGCGTGTCTTGTAGTCCCGTTGTCACTAGACCGTTGGCTAATGGCGTGTCTTGTAGTCCCGTTGTCTCTAGATTGTTGACTATTGGAGTGTCTTGTAGTCCCGTTGTCACTAGACTGTTGGCTATTGGCGAGTCTTGTAGTCCCGTTGTCACTAGACTGTTGGCTATTGGCGTGTCTTGTAGTCCCGTTGTCTCTAGACTGTTGACTATTGGCGTGTCTTGTATTCCCGTTGTCTCTAGATTGTTGACTATTGGCGTGTCTTGTAGTCCCGTTGTCACTAGACTGTTGACTATTGGCGAGTCTTGTAGTCCCGTTGTCACTAGTCTGTTGGCTATTGGCGTGTCTTGTAGTCCCGTTGTCTCTAGATTGTTGACTATTGGAGTGTCTTGTAGTCCCGTTGTCACTAAACTGTTGACAATTGGCGTGTTTTGTAGTCCCGTTGTCTCTAGACTGTTGACTATTGACGTGTCGTGTAGTCCCGTTGTCACTAGACTGTTGACTATTCGCGAGTCTTGTAGTCCCGTTGTCACTAGACTGTCGGCTATTGGCGTGTCTTGTAGTCCCGTTGTCACTAAACTGTTGACAATTGGCGTGTTTTGTAGTCCCGTTGTCTCTAGACTGTTGACTATTGACGTGTCGTGTAGTCCCGTTGTCACTAGACTGTTGACTATTCGCGAGTCTTGTAGTCCCGTTACCACTAAACTGTTGACTATTAGCGTGTCTTGTAGTCCTGTTACCACTAAACTGTTTACTATTGACGTGTCTTGTAGTCCCGTTGTCACTAGACTGTTGACTGTTGGCGTGTCTTGTAGTCCCGTTGTAACTTTACTGATTCTCTCTTTGAGAACGTTACATTACTAGGATTCAACCAAGATTGACATGATATAGAAGGTGCTTATCCTCCCAAAACACCTGGGCCCGTATTCATGAAACCGTTTTCATGCTCAAGCATGGATTTAGTGCTCAAGCCAAATTTCTTGTTCCGTTTGTAAATCAATAATGACATCTTATTTTGTCAATAATTTAGATAACAATTAAAGAGACTTAAAGCCAAATACTGTTTCCAATCTTTATATTTGACTTTCACATGATTTATGTGAGTTACAAAAAAGTTGGTTTGAGCACAAATTCTACCCTAGAGGCTAGAGCATGAGGTCGGTTTCATGAAATCGGGCCCTGGTCTTATTCTTGCTACTTGTAAAGTCCGTGTAATTTTCTTCTGCTGCTGCAAACATTAAACAAACATCGCTGAAAGTAGTATCTTACAAAGATTATTGCTGTACATTTTTGAAAATTAAAAAATGTATTCCAATATCCAATGACTTTTCTAATATCAAAATTGAAAGATAAGTGCCAAAGTGATTAAAGAATGTTTCAGGCGATGGCCTATAAAATAACTTATAAAATACCATTGACTATTCATTTCGAGGCAAGGTAAAAACTGAAAACCCTTGGATTTGAAAATAATGTACTATTCCTCATAAGAACCATATTCCACTGACTAGGTTATAGACAGTCATTGTAGTACTATCTAAATGATAAGAGTAATAAATACTGGAAATTATTTGGAATTCAACTAAAATAAATTTGACGCTTTTATACTTTCGGTTTAATATAACAGCTTTTAGTGAGTTAATGTTTTTTGATTTACACGTCTTTGATCCAATACAATTTGGGTATTTTTCTTTGGTGGTCACAGGTATGTTAACATGTCTAAATTGATCATTACTTTAGGTTGCAAAGACGGTTTCTATGGCGGAACTTGTGACAAGACATGCCCATCAAATTGTCAGGATGGAATCTGTAATATTCAAACCGGACAATGTGCAGGTATTAATGTTTATTATTATATAACATTCTAAAACACCTGGTCTTATTATTGTTATTTCTTTGCTATAACATTTTTTTTTCTTTTCTCTCAAAATGTTTATTTCAATAATTTGCATATTTGTATATGCTTAGCATCATATCATTCTTATAACCAGCATACATTGTTTTACATATCACTACATCATTCCTCATCTTATAACCAGCATACATTGTTTTACATATCACTACATTATTCTTCATCCTATAAACAACATTCATTGTTTTGCATATAGCTACACCATTCTTCATCTTATAACCAGCATACATTGTATTACATATCACTAAATCATTCTTCCTCTTATAACCAGCATACATTGTTTTACATATCACTACATCATTT